TATAGCTCTGGAAGGAATGGTTTATAATTGAAAGGTTAGACTTTCTGAGGTAGATATGGGATTGTATCATGAAATTAAAAGGGAGGGGGTGTTAAATGTGCAAGATATAACAAATCAATACATCTGTGATAATTGGGGAGGCTACTGCCAAATGTATATAGACAGCTCCAAAGATGCAAGAACAAGAAGAGTAAGAACAGTGTTCCTTTTCTTCTTCTCATGCTCTTAATTAATGCACTGCGAGATATTGCCGAAGAAACCCTTCCAAACAGTTGTGCTATTCATTGCCACATCAACAATTAATGTTGCAGGTGCTTATCTATTGTGTTCCCTTCAAGCGCTGGGCCTGAACTGGTGCCTTAGCATCATTATTATTGTAGTGCTTAGAAGTTCCATCTTTTTAATCTCTCTTGCTCTGAGACCCATTCCAAACCCCTTATAATTTTTGTTGCCCTTTTCCAAACCTTTTCCAGTGCCAACGTATCTTTTTTGAGATGAGGCAAGCACATTTGTATGCAGTATTTAAGATCTGCGCTTACCATGGATTTATATAGAAGCAATAAGATACTCTCTATCCCTTTTTAGGGTTAGTGTTAGAGTGGACACTTCAATCACTTCTATACATAGGAGAGTAGGGTGAGATCCTTTGTGGCTTGCAATGGAAAACTAGAGATGAAATCAAGTGTTTTTTTCTGGTGATGGTCATAATGGGAATAAGATAAACTGCAAGATTACTATGCACGTGCAAATCCAGGTCATCATGGGGAGTACTTGTGTAATTAGAATTACTCAAGTGCTTAAGTAGCTGGATGGATTGCGCTCTAAAATGTAGAAATGAAATGTAGAAATGATTTTATTAAATTGACCATGCCTCTGATTTGTTTTTGTTATGTTGACATAACAGGTAGCAGATCAGGAGTTCTGTTCATCAATGCGAGGATTTCCCCAATTCATTTTCGCTCATCAGTGTTCAGCTTTTTGTTGTAGTTTGTCTTTCCCTCCCCCGTGCCCCCCCCAACAGCTTTATTTCTGCTTTGTAATCAATGAGCAGCATTAGTTCTGTAAACAGGACTTGCCAGGGGCTATTTCCAGAGTTGCCTATACAGCAGCACTGCTTACTGTAATATGGCTTTGTGCCATGTTAGCTTGGCTGTGTCATGGGGCACCTGTAAGTCTCTTCTAACCAGAGTCTTTCATTGCTTGGTGAGTCATTTGGTGAATCATTTGTACTAGAGAGCTAGCCTTAGCTTTTATTTTATTTAGTACTAACAGAAGGAACCTACAGTCCTGTACTAGGGATTAGGGATGTTCGATATAATGTAACTGAATTGTTGTGTAACTGCATGAAATCTTAGCACTTACATGACAGGCCTGTACCAGGGCTTAAATTCTCACATAGTATTTCACTGAGCTCCAGGGCTGGGGGCTTCTGCCGCAAGGGAAGGCACCAGAGTTTGAGGCTTCTGCCCCACAACTTTGAAAATATTTCCCAGAGCTCTACTCTGGAGACCTTCAGCTGAATTTAAGCCTTGTTTTGTACTGCCTAGCTCTAACTTAGAAGGTAAAAATATCTAGTTATTTCCTAAAAGGAATAATATGCCAATGTATTATCTCAAAGTTACTCAGAAGCTTTTGATATAAGCACACTAGGTGATATATAACAATAGAACACGTTTACTAAGTACAAATGGATGTATCTGAAGTGATATAATAAAAAATCAAATATGATAACAAGGAAAATAACAATAACATTCCCCAATATCTAACTTAAATTTTATTATATACAAGCAAAGTTTCTCACCACATGCTTTCGGTAGTCTTACTGTCCAAAGTCTGTAGGTCAAGACTTCCTCCCCATAGTCCAGCAACTTTCTTTCTTTTTTCTTTTTTTTTTTTTTTTGTCTTCCGGTGCAGTGAATACAATTGCTGGGGCGGAGAGGAGGAGAGGTTTTCTTCTCCTTTTATAGTTTCAGTTTCTCTTTTGGAAAACATTCCCAGCTAGACACTAAGGGTACATTGCAGGGCTTAACTTGAAATAAGCTATGCAAATTGAACTATGTCAATTGCATATGTTATTTTGAAATAAGCTATTTCAAAATAGAGAGCATCTACATTTCACTTACTTAGAAACAAAGCACTCTTCCTCCAACTTCTCCTATTTCTCATACAAATAGCGTTACAGGAGTTGGAGTAAGAAGTCCTCCAGGTTGACAGTATTGTGACACTATTTCGAAATAACTGCTTGCTGTGTACAGGTGGACTAAGTTATTTCAAAATAATGTTGCAGTGTATGGGAAATTATATTTTCTGATAGCTTTTTCAACACCTATTTGAGCTTTCTTTGTTGCCCTGTCTGCTTAATTACTCTGTTTACTGCTTAAGTGCAAATTAAGCAGAGCACACATTCCTTTGTCAAGGACAGACCTATTTGCCATCTTCTGTGTGGTCAGGGTAATGTGTTAATAATGACATACTCTTATAATTTCACATGAAATATATCAACAGTGAATGAAGACAATATTGACTGGCAAATTATAAGTTTTCAAATGATATCTTACAAGGCAATTTTTGAAGAAAGATTAGTACAAAAGTGGGCAGAAGGCAAATATAAGGGTATAGTCTGTCATGTGCATTCTGGGAAATTTCTTTATCTCTGAAGCATTTTGGCATATGGAGGATGTTAGGGATACTGAGGGGCATGCAGGGGAATGTGAAGTACAGGAAGAGATTGAAGAAGGACAGGTGAGTGACTGAGTTGATGCACCAGAATAGGGAGTTGCCAAGACACAGAATGGGTGGGGCAGAAGACTGTGAGGAGAAAAGGAAGGGGTAATGGGAATAGAGAGAAGGTACCTAATATGGTATCTGGGAAGTGATGGGCCTAAGCCTACCCAAAACTAAATGTTCATCCCTTCAACTCTGGGGGAGGAACCACTGAGCCCAAATGCCTTCTTAGGACAATAAATGAGAAAACAGAAACAAGAGCGTGTATCAAAGATTAAAAATTAGGGATCCAGAAGGAGACATTGAGCAGAGAATCCTAGATTTCACCTCAAAGGTATCAGTGGACACTACCCAGAGAAACTCTGCCTGGAGGTGTGATTGGACAAGAGACTAGAATTAGGACTCACAGTTGCAGAGCCTTTCTCCCCACACATCCAGCTTCCTCTTCCTACTTTAAGAGATGGCTATCTTGGCTAGTGCCCGGAGGAGTTTGAGGAGGAGGTTTCATGACTTTGTAAAACCACAGAGAGGGTGTGAAAGGATAAATAAGTGATGGGAAAAATGCATCACTGCACTTTTGTATGCCAGGGTCTCCCTCTTGTTGCAAAAAGGATAGCTGTTGGGATTCCTTGAACTGCTCAGGGTACACACCTGTACTTATGGCTCAATGAAGGAGCTGCTAGCTAATATTTCCAATGACCATGTATCCAGAATAGAGTAAAAACTGACCCACTGGAGATGCCCACCCTTTGCAGATGCAGCAAGTACCACCTTGTGACCTCAGCACAGGACATGAGGGCAAGGAAGTAGCTGGTATGCAGAAAAATGTGTACAGGTGTTGTTCATGTGCAGTTTGCATATGAACTATCTGGATGGCATTTGGCTGATTCTGGTACTGGGTTGGGTGTAGCCAGGAAGGCTTGAGAGGTAGCGGCCTGACAATGAGTTCCAGAGGTCTAAGGTGATGGGTGGGAGGAAGCATTTTCGTACAGGGCCTGCTTGAGAAAAGAGAGAGAGAAGTAGGGGGTTAAGACTTCCCTCATCTCCTGGATCATGCTAAAGGGGAAGCATCAAATGTACAACCTATGTACAATCCATGTCCTGTCCAAATGCCAGGGGTCCACTTAAGTCTGTCATACCAAAGTTCAGGAGGTCTGAGTCTGTTGGTCTCAAGGGGGAGGATTGACCACCTACACATGAAGGTGTAGGCTGTGTAGTAGGGGTTCTACAAGGCAATTCTCCCCTTTGGTGCTACGGATCTGGCGTAGCTTTTGGTCCAAAGAAGGCCCACAAAGCAGCAGGACAGCTCAGAAATTTTGGGAAGACCTTTTTCAGTATAGATCACAGCTACTCAAAACGCAGTCCATGGGCCGCATGCAGCCCACAGCCCATTTATTTGCGGTATGGTTTGGATTTATGGTGCAATTTGTGTTGATATGTGTTTTAGTAGTTAAATTCCTGGACTGTCATGCTCATTAAAAGTGTTGTCCTATGGGTGGAAATCAGATAATATTACATTTTATTAATACCACGTTAAATGGGGCCTGTATGTTGTGTAGTCTTGCCTCAATCTGTGTATTCATGCCTATCAGTGTGAAAGAAGCTATTTGCATATATTTGTATGTATATGCAACCATACTTAAGTTGCAGCCCTTGGCATGTGCTGTATCATTGTGGCCCCCAGGGCTTCCAAAGTTGTGCAGCCCTGGTATCGATAAAAAAGATCTGTGATCATACAGAAGGAATGTAAGGCACAGGGGAGCAGCACAAGCCAGGGGACGGTGAGAAGGGTAGGGAGACAGGAAGAAAGATGAAGAGGGGTAAGTGGCAGCCCTTTTTAAGCCTGTTTTTGACTGGTTGAATTTTGAAGCTGAGAGGGTCGAGCACACGTGGGGGGATGAGCGGTGTTCCTCCTAAATTCCCCAGGATTAGAAGGTGGACTAAGTTACCTTCCTGGCTGGTGGTTTACTTCACATGTCCTGATGTTTCACTTAGGCTCCTGACTGGGCCCTGGAGTGTGAGCGATGGGTTATGGAGGGCAGAGGCAGGCAGTTGGCCCCTCCCCTCCTCTCTCCACTCCCCCGCAAACCCAAGACGGGCACGTCCCCGGGGGCGGCCTGGCTTCGGCGCTCTAGGGAGCAGCAGGGGCAGGAGCCATTTTTGCAGCGGCCAAGGAGACTGGGGAGCCGCGAGGCAGCTCGCGCCTCAGCCCGGCCAAACCCCGGAACTCGGGCAGCGGCCGGGAGGCGGGGCCGGGGCGGGGCGTAACCCCGGTTCCCGGCCGGGTACAAGGCTCGCCGGCTGCAGAGGCCAGTCCGAGCCGTAGGGGAAGGATCCGTTTCCCGCCCCGCCGACCGGCGCTTTCCTCATGGCGAGCTGCTGCCGCGGCCCCTCCCCGGGGCGCCGCTCGCTGCCGCTGCTCCTGCTGCTCCTCCGCGTCTCCCTCGTGCGTCAGGCGTCGGCCGCCACCACGTCCCGGCTGAGCGGCTATTTCGGGACCAAGTCCCGGTACGAGGAGGTGAACCAGCACCTGCTGCGGGACCCGCTCTCCCTGGGGCCCCCGGAGCCGGGGCACCTGCTGCCCTCCGCCGCCTGCGTCCCGCTGCAGCTCCGCGCCCTCATCCGCCACGGCACCCGCTTCCCCACCGAGAAGCAGATCCGCAAGCTGGGCCAGCTGCACCGCCTGCTCCGCAGCCAGGAGCGGGCCTGCCCCGCCGCGCAGCAGCTCGCCCGCTGGGACATGTGGTACCAGCCAGAGATGGACGGGAGGCTGGCGCCCAAGGGCCGCCTCGACATGGAGCAACTGGCCCAGCGCCTGGTCGCCCGCTTCCCCGGCCTGCTGTCCTCGCAGCGCCGCTTCGCCTTCGCCAGCAGCTCCAAGCACCGGTGTGTGGAAAGCAGCGCCGCTTTCCGCAGGGGCCTACAGCTGGCCCTGCATCCGCAGCCGTCGCCCAGCGGTAAGGGAGCGGGGAAGCCTGGCCTGGGAGGGTGTCCTGGGCACACGTGGGCGGAGGCATAAAGCAGAGCCCTGGCGGTGAGGTAAGGGGAGACCCTCTCTGGGACTCACTGGGTGCCCCCAGCCACAAATGGAGAGTACCCCCGCGCCCCCCCCCCCACGGGTTGAAGCAGAGAACCCACCAGGAAGCTACTTGTCCTTGAAACTGCTTTCCACAGGCTCCGTGCCATTGTCTCCCAGTTGCCTTCCCCAACTCTAAAACTTATACAATTGATTTTAAAATCAGAGTCCTAGAACGCTAGAACTAGGGATGTGAAAGTTGGGCTCATCAGTCACATGCAGCTCCCCCCTCCCCATGTAACCCTGAGAATTTAAGGCTGGGGGCAAGCCATCCACTCTTAAAAGCCAGCTCCTGGCATACATTGGTTCCTGCAGAGCCACCTGCATCTTTCCTTTCCTGTAACTATGAAATTTTCAGCAGTTACACAATTACATAAACACATTTTACAATTCTTAATTAGAACTGGGAGGGACTCAAGAGAGGTTATCAAGTCCAGTCCCCTGCAATCATGGCAGGATCAAGCAACATCTAGATCAGGTGCGACTCGAACTGCAGCTACAGGTGCCAAATTTCTAGTGCTCAACTCCTGGCTCCACTTCCTCCTCCAAGCTTATTGCACCCTTGCTCCTTCCCTCCCCCACAGTCTCCTGAGTTCCATGAAACAGCTGATTGCAGTGAGCAGGTGGCATGGGGAAGGAAGAGGAGGCACTGATCAGTGGGGCTGCTGGTGGGCAAAAGATGCTGGAGATGTGAGATGAGGCACCTGATGGGGACTGCTGACACATCACGGTAGCTCTTTGGCAATGTACTTTGGGAAACTGTGGCTCCTTCTCAGGCGCAGGTTGGCCACACCTGATCTAGATCATCCCTGACAGATGTTTATCTAACCTGCTCTGAAATACCTCCCATGATAGAGATTGCACAACCTCTCCAACTAATTTATTTCAGTGCTTAGCCACCTTGACAGGAAGTTTTTCCTAATGTCCAACCTAAACCTCCTTTACTGCAATTTAATCCCATTGGCTACGTCTAGACTGGCATGTTTTTCTGTTAAAAGCATTTGCAAAAAGAGCGTCTAGATTGCGGAAAAGCGTCCGTGCCAAAAGCACTTTTTGAGGAAAAGCGTCCGTGCCAATCTAGATGCGGTTTTGCACAAGAAAGCCCCGATCGCCATTTTCGCCATCGGGGCTTTTTTGCGCAAAACAATACAACGTTGTCTACACTGGCCCACTTGCGCAAAAGCATTTGCGCAAGAGGGCTTTTGCCTGAACAGGAGCAGCATAGTATTTCCGCAAGAACACTAACAATCTTACATGAGATAGTCAGTGTTCTTGCAGAAATTCAAGTGGCCAGTGTAGACAAAAGCTGGCAATTGCTTTTGCAGAAAAACTTGCCCGTCTAGATGCAGCCCTCGTGTCTTGTCCTATCCTGAGAGGTTAAGGAAAATAATCTTGTAACAGTCTTTTTGAACTTGAAAGCTATGATGTCCCCTCTGTCTTCTCTCTTTTTTTTTTTTTTTTTTTTTTTTCTTTCTCCCTTTTCTTCAAACTAAACCCAATTTTTTCAGACTTCTCTCAGAGGTCATTCATTCCCAGTACAGCCGGTCCCCAAGTTGTGAACGGTCAACTTACGGCCATTCGCAGTTACAACAAAAGCTGTTGTAACTGCGAATGGTCGGAAGTTGACCGTTCACAACTCGGGGACCGGCTGTACTAAGTGGTGGATCCCGAGTTACGAATGCGATCCATGCTTACGAACAGCGCGGTTGCATGTAACTCAATGGGGTCCGACTTACGAACGAACCGAGTTACGACCAATTGCTTGGTCTGTAACCGGTTCGTAAGTCGGAGAGAGGCTGTAGTTTTCTTTGGATCTTCTCCAATTACTCTACATCTTTCCTAAAATGTAGTGTTCAGAACTGGACACAATACTCTGTTGTATCTTCTCCAATTACTCTACATCTTTCCTAAAATGTAGTGTTCAGAACTGGACACAATACTCTGTTGTAGCCTACTCAGTGCAGAGTAGAGCAGAAGAATTACTTTGCATCTTGCTTACCGCACTCCTGTTAATGATGTTGTAGTAGACAGTAGAGAAGAAAATGTTTCCATTATAGGGTAGATATGATCTTAAGAATAGTTTGGTTAGCATGGTTCTCAATACAGTATCTGAGCGTATCCAGGAAAGAAATGTTAGAGCCCTTCTTGAAATGCATACAATTGAAGCTAAGGTGGGCGAGAGTTTGTCAAGGGGGGAGTTTTAGAAGGGCAGCAGCCGTGGTCACTGAGACGCGGCTTGCTTTTCCTCCTGTTCCCTGAACTATCAGGGAGTGAGGGGAAGGTACCTGCATTCTGTGATTTATTCCTCTGCCTCCTCCCTTCACCAGCCAGGAATGAGAGGCATGCATGGAATGCAAGTACTTTCTCTTCATTCCCTGATAGTCTGGGGAACAGGATGAGAAGCAAGCTGCATCTCAGTGCCCATGGCTGCTGCTCCCCTGCCCTCCCAAAACTCTGCCCTTGGTTTAAGCCTAATATAATTAGGGATGTAAATGGCTAACCAAATAACATCACTCTTAACCATAACCAATAAGCATCACCTGGTAACTGGTGGGGGTTGCTCCAACTTGACAGGTCCTGCCATGGGCTGGGGGGGCTGCTCCAGCCTCCGGAGGCTGCAGTCTGACTGGAGCATCCCCTCTGTGGCAGTCCTGGACAGAGCAGCTCCCATCCAATCCACTGGGCTGGAGCAGATCCCCTGCCTACCCCCGTTTAAGCAGTTAACTGGTTAACTGATTAAATGGGATTTTACATCCCTAAATATAATGTCAGAGTTAAGATGTTACAAAGATTATAATTAACCTCTTGTTTTTCTTATAAATTGGGGTATCTGACAGGTTGCCTCCCCAGTCAGGCCCCAGACCAACTTTTGTAAAATCTGTTGGGGAATTCTTTAAAAGTATCTGATATGTTTTTGTGTGAATTGCAGGGTTTTTCCACTAAGAATGTTTTCCTTTCAGACATTGTGCATGAGAAGACTGAGATTGATGACAAATTGATGAGGTTCTTTGATCATTGTGAGAAGTTTGTAACCTCTGTGGAAGAGAATGATACAGCTATGTATCAAGTGGATGCCTTCAAACAGGGTCCTGAGATGAAAAGGATTCAGGAAAAAATTGCAGCTACTTTGTGTATACCAGTGCGTGATTTAAATGCAGGTAATATACTTTGTTGTTTCATTCTTTAACATGCGTAAATGTTGTTTTCTAGGTTCTAGGATCTTCAGATAGTTTTAAAGAACAAATAGTTTAAAATGCCCTTTTAGGCTTTTGGAAAGACAAGTGAGGACAGCATGTTATATCACTAATGGAAAAGAACAGCTTATAAAAATTACTTTGTTTACCGAAGCCATAGTGGGTAGTGTACAGTGACAAATGTTATAATACAGAGTTACAGAGAACCAGTTTTAACAGTTTATTTGAGGAGCCCTTCTGAGATAAGCATCAAAGATGCAAAAGAACACGATTTTTGAATTACTTCTAAGGGAAAACATAGTTTTTTAAGAACACGATTTTTGAATTACTTCTAAGGGAAAACAGTTTTAAAAAAAAAAATAGGTAAGATAATTTTAGTTTCTCAAACATGTATATATTCTAATCTTATTCTACTTTACCCGTGTTAATTTAAATTTCATGAATACGGTATTGTGATCATGATTGTTCATTGTTAGTGAACAGGCATAGAACCTGTTGTAGAAAAAACATTCCTATTTATCCCACAGATCATGTTAACTTGACCCAGATTAAGTGTCTATATTTCTCAGAAATTTCCTCTTGAACAGGCACAGCATGTAGTCCAAACTAAGAGTGACTTAACGTGGCAAATGGTTCTGGTTTTTTTTTTTGTTTTTTCCACATGGAAAATGTCTGATATTAAATTCCGTTGTCTACACTAAGTTTTCTAGAAAGTCATATTTTAGAATGTCATGATAAAATACATGAGTTGTGGATGGTACTACTGAAATAAGTGAAACATTCATAACCCTTATACCTTCAACCTACAATGTAAGTGGACAAATAATTGCTAAAATAGGAATGATTAGAGTAGCTGGCATTCATTGTGCCTGTTTAGTAGGGAGTTTTGTGCAAGCCTTCGGGATCATTCATAGAGAATGTAAGCTGGATTTTTTTAATCTAATACTCAGAGTAAACAGAGCTTTACTTTTGTCTTATCATCATCATCATCATCATCATCTACTGCATAATAATACACATCAGCAGATGTAAATCATTAAATATATGATGGTTAAACTGGTGTTTCCTTGCCCCGTGAAAGGCTTAACATGTAAGTCTCCGATCATGTAAACATTTGAATAAACCCATAGTGCAGAATAGGAGCTTTAGTGTACATTATGTGTTTGGCTCTGTGTTGGATGTTCTTGGTCATATTTTTCCCTAATAACAGGAGGTGATGCTGGGAGGGGGCTGTAGAGAACAAATACATTGTCATCTGTCTATTACTTATTTGGATTTATTACAGATTTGATCCAGGTTGCTTTTTTTACCTGTTCATTCGAGTTAGCTATTAAAAATGTGAACTCTCCTTGGTGCTCACTCTTCAATGAAGATGATGCTCAGGTAGGTGTTGCCTGTATGTAGAATGGAGGCATTAACTGTGTGTAAATTGTTCCATTCAGTTTTACATTTTGATGTAAACAGTTTGGTATACAGATATTCTTAGCAAAGAGAGGTTTTAGTTTATTGTTTGTCAGATGTAATTGTTCAATATTAAAGGCATTACATATGATTTACTACACTTAAGAAAAAGCAAATCTGAGCATCAATTAGACCATAATGTAACAAATACCAGTTTTTCTCTGTTGAGTGGCAAGTCATTTAGACTTGCAAAAGAGAAATGTTTTTCCTCTCTCTCTTCACCCCTCCCTTCCCCCAAATCAGGCATCACTGTACCTGACTGACAAGAACACTCAAATGCTTGTCCTTTTTTTTTTCTTGTGAGGTGGGAAAGAAAAGGTGAAACACATTTAACTTATCATTTACCCTTGAAATTGTGAAACAATAACCCAAGAAAATTAGTGACAACAACTTATAGCAGACCTTCTTAATAAAAAAAAAAATCCTGTGCACTGAATCAGACGAGTCCTTTGGAAGAACATATGCCATCATACAGTTAAAGCCATGTAACTAAACTGTAGCTAAACACAAGCCAACAGAATTAAGTCTGGGCAGCTGCAGTTTTGACAGTTGCCTACTGTTGCGTGCTTGACTCTGTAACCGTAACATTAGTTTAATATCATTCACGTTAAAGCAAATTAGGAAAAAGCCCAACAAATTCCATCATGTTGAACCATATGGACGTCCATGTGATTGGTGATCTGCATTAAAAGATTGAGGCCACCAACCAGTAGATCGGGATCTATCGGTAGATCTTAGAGCCTATGACAGGTGATCCTGACTGGTTTGGCCAGGAATCTATCAAGTGCTGGCACTTCAGTTGCCCCTCCACCCACTGTCATGCTGCACCTCCTGGAAGCCTCTTGCTTGCTGTGCAAAGTGTGGGAGGGAGAAGGAGGGGTGCTGATGTCAGGGTGTCCCTCCTCCCCCTGCTTCTGTACCCTATCTTCACACACAGAGAGAAGGGGATGGAGGGAGCTTGGCAATGCAAATCTGTCACTTTCACACTGTGTGTGTGTTGTCACAAACACACACTGTCCTTCACTCTCATCTCCTGACCCAACACATACGTGGGGGGTTGTTGTTACTTTTTTTACTGCTTGCGAAGTGTGTTGTTTTTGGTCTTTGACTGTCCTTGCCCTGAACCTCCTCCTACACCCAATCTCCTGCCCCCAACGTGAGTCCTCCTTCCCAGAGCTTGCACCCTGAAACATCTCCTGACCCCCATTCCCTCACCTGAGATAAGCCTGGAGCCCCTTTCACACTCCAAACTCCTTGGATCAAGATCAGAGCCTGAACCCCGACTGTTACCCCCGCCTAGTGAAAGTGAGTGAGGAAGGGGAATGGAGTGAGCAGGGTAAAGCCTCGGAGAAGGGGTGAAGCCGAGTCAGGGCCTCAAAGAAGAGGCAGGAAGGAAGTGGGGCAAGGGTGTTTGGGTTTGAAGTAGACCTTATATTGCAGTTAAATTGAAAAAATGATCTTGTGTTTAAAAAGGTTGGAGACCACTGCTCTAGAGTCACAGCACAGACATCTGCTACTTGAGCTAATGGAGTCATTGATAGCCGTAGTAGGTAGTACTTGACTACATGGGCCATCTGCTGGAGGGAGATGAGACATGTTTTACTAATGGATTTCCCAGCTGTTTGCTGGTAGAAGAATGGTGAGACTCAGGAATCATGAATTCTGTTCCAGGTTCTGAGGGGAGGGTTCTCTAGTGGCTAGACCCTTTTATGTCTGTCCCCTTCAGCTTGTCCCAGTCTCTCTCTCCCTCTAGAGCCTGTGGAATTGGTGTTTAGAAGGAAAGAATAAAAAGTAAAAACAAACAACAAACCAACAGAGTAAATATTTGTAAGCTTGTGGCTGAGGCATAGGATCTGAAGTCAGGATATTGGAGTTGTGCTTTTGACCCAGCTCTATACTTCCTGTAATTTTCATCTTGTCTTCCTCCACCTGAGTTTCCTCACTGGTAAATTAGAATTAATGTTCTTGTTTTGCTCACAAGATTAAGAGTAACTAGTGTTTGTAATACATACAGAGCTCTTTTAATGGAACATGTTAAAGTATATGATTCACACCACAGAAAAATATTAATTGGAATCAGAAGAGCAGAGTACAGGGTAATCACTGTACCTCCCAATATGTCTTGGTGGGACTCCACATATAATAGGAATGCATATATTTCCATTTCCTCTATTAAGTTCTTCATATTACATGAATGTATGCAGCAAAGCCCATTGGTAACTTTAGGTTGCCAGAAGAATTCTGGTATAGTGAAACTCGTATTACAACCATTGCTTCCTTATAATTTGATACTGTAGGGTAACTTAGACCTACGCCTTAGAAGAAAAAAAACCTGAGACTTTATCTTTTTCTCATGTAACTCACTTTAATATCCCTAAGATGTTTGAGCAGTTATAGCAAGAACTAGCAAATGTACATTGCTTGGGTACTGAACTATAGTAATGGTTGGTGTTTTGTTTTGTTTTTTTATAAAAAGGAAAATGTACATGCTTGATTTAAATCGTGGGCTTAGGACAAGAGGTGGGGGGTGCAGGCATCAGGACAGGAGCTTGGGTGTGTGTGAAGCTCATAGCAGGGAGTGGAGGTGCAGGCGTCTGGGCAGAAATTAGGAGCTCAGGGCGGGGGGCTCAAAGGCAGCAGGAGGTGCAGGAATCAGGGCGGGGTTTTGGGTGTGGTGGGAATGAGGCTGGATGGTGTTGGAGGATTCAGGGAAGGGGATGGGAGTTAGGGCAGAGAGCTCAGGACAGGGGATGGGAGGTGTATGGGGGAGGACTCACTAGGGTCACCCATAGTGGGAGGTGCCGTCCAAGAAGTGGAGGAAGGGAAGCCCCCGGCCCTGGCAGGAGGGGTGGGGGTGGGGGTGGGTGGATGGAGGGGAAGGGATTGACAGAGGGAAGCCCCCCAGCAGGATCCACACAGAGGAGGGTGTTGGAAGTCAAGCCCTAGGTCCCTTGGCTGTAGCCCATGCAGGAGGAAAGCCAAGGCCCCTGGCAGGCGCTATGTGGAAGGGTGGAGTGGGAAAACCCTGGCTGGAGTTGTGCAGGGGATGGGGGCAGCCCTGGGCCCTTGGAGGAAGGGGGAGGGAAGCACTTGAACATCTGCAGAAGTTGGGAGGGGCCCTCATTAGCATAGGGCTCCATAGTTTGAAATGATGGACTCTGCGCCATCCACCAAATTCAATTATTATAGGGAATTTTTTTAGACAACCATGATAACCATGTATTCCTTTGGTGTTAGATCATGCATGTAAGTGTCATGTATGATCTGCTTTTTGCTTAGATTTCATGGGAAGATCAGCTGTCCTTTTAGACTGTGCTGTGTATCTGAGCAACTTTTGTTATGACTGCCCAAATTTGGAACAAAAGGCTATAGTCTTTCATAGGCTCAGCCATTTCTATAAATTGGTCAGAGATGGTGGGGATATCATTGAAATATCTGCCATGCTTCATCCCTGAAGAAGTCCTATGGCCTATGTTAAATTGATTTAATCAGAAGTAGTATGCCAAACTAAGGATTTTATCACTTTTGGCCCAGACTTTTCCATGGAAAAATGGGCATGTGCAAGTGTGGTGTTTTCCATTGCACAGTTGGCACAACTTGTCCTTTTATTTATTTTTATTATGACCATACTAGTACGCACACCCTTGTGATTAACCCATTACAGGACTTCAGTGGCTTGTAGCTCGTTCCACATGCAGCAACATTTATTTAGGAATAATGTGTATTTATTGTGACTTTGTGTTTAAATGTATAACAGTGGTCCTCTTTTGAAAATCTAACTTTTGATAAGGTGGCAATAGCAAACAAAGGAAGGGAGGCTTAAGAGGAAGAGAACATGGATTTGAGTATAAGATGATGCTCTTCAAGAAGTCTTGAAATTCAATCCCCTGCAGTGTACTGGATCAAGTAAATACCCTCATAGGTGTTTATCCAGTCTTTTCTTAAAAACCTCCAATGTTGGGAATTTCATACCCTCCCTTGGAAGCCTTTTCTGGATCTTATAGGTAGCAATTTTTCCACTTTGGCTGCAGATGAAGCCTGTTACTGTTAGTCTGCCCTCAATGGAGGTGGAAAGCAATTGCTTGATCACTGTCCTCACTATTAAAACCCTTAACATATTGAAAGTGTGTTAACAGGTTCTCCCTCTGTCTTTTTCACACAAGATTGACAACTTGTTTTAATCTTTCCTCACAATCAGGATTTTTAAACCTTGCTACTTTTTCTTTCCTGTGGACTCTCCAGTTTTCATCTTCACTAAAGTAGGGTGGCCAGCACTGGACATAATACTCCAACTGAGACCTCACCACTCCTGAGAAGAGCAGGACAGTTACCTCCCACATCATACAAATGATACTGCTGTTAATGCACCCCAGAATGTAGCCTTGCTTGAAACTGGATCACAGTGTTGACATATAATTAATTTGTAATCCACCGCAATCTCCAGATCCTTCTCAGCAGTACTACCACTTGAACCACTTATTCCGCATTTTGTAATTGTATGTTTGATTGTTCCTTCCTAAGAGAAATGTTTGCATTTGTCTTTATTGAATTTCGTTTTGTTGAATTTGGACAAATTCTCCAATTTGTCAAGGTAATTTTGATTTGTAAACTTGGCTTCCCAAGCACTTGCAGTCCCTCACAGCTTGCTGCTATCTGCAGACTTTCATTCTGCACTCCATTATTTAAATAATGGATACAAATATTGTATAATTCTGGACCTAGAACTGACCCAGGTTGGACTCCACTAGACACACCCTCCTAATTTGATAGCTATGCTTTCAGTACAGTCTTTCAACTGATTTTGTGCCTCCATTAAAATAATTTCATCTTCAAGCTTCATTTTAAAGCTTCCTATCTATTAGGCCAGTAACCTTGTCAAATAATGAAATTAAGTTCAATTAACATGTCAGATGATCCTGGCTATTTCTTATAACCCTGTTGTCTTTTAGGTGCTTACAGATTGGTTGCTGAATTTTGTTTTAGTATCTTTGTTTGTATTGAAGTTAGGCTGATTGAAATTCCTGTTTTGTTCCCCTTTCCAAACATACATACTATGTTTGCCCTTCTCCAGGTCTGTAGGACCTCACCTGTTCTCAGAGGTGATTGTTTCATCTAGTCCTTCAGTACGCTAGGATGAATTGCATCAGGACCTGCTGACTCGAATGCA